TATCTTAGCAAGCAGAAAAGATAAGAACTTCTTATTTTATCTTCTAGCTTATAAATATCTTCGTATGAAACTATAGACTTTGTATTTTGGTTTCACAAACATCTAATTTGAACCAGTGCTGCATTCAACATACCACGTTACACACAAAAATCGATGTTTATTTGTGTTTTTTTTAATATTTACTTTCAAATTAACAAATTGAGTAATATGTAGTTCAAATATTTGAATTATAATCTACAGTTTGATACCAAACTTATTGACATAAATTCATAAAATAGTTCAATAAAATTTTGAATGTGAGTCAACAAACGAGATGACATCGCCTTTCACCTGTGACTCGTATAGAAAGAGTTAAAGAATGCAGTTATTTTGGGCTTCAATTAACGTCCATTGTAGAACACAAAATTATAATTTTATGCCCCCGTTAATGCTCATTTTTCATCTTGCAACACAAAGTTTAAAATTTTAGTCTCCTATTAAAGTGTAGTTTTCAGATTAGAGCTCAGAAAGTTATCATACTGGACAGTTTTTCATCTCCAATTACATTATTAGATCCCAGAGGATTTTTGTTAATATTGTACAACTGGTGTTATTCAGCTTACAGATTACAACACAGAAAGTTAATGAGTTAATTTTTATTCCAAAACCTAAAACTCTGCTATTAACCTCCATCCTTCAAGAGAAAAAAAATCAGCTTATTCCTCCTTTAATAAATGGAATACAGTCCTTTAAAAAATGCATATCTTGATGTTTTTAAATGCTTAATTCAGTCTTTAATGTTTTTATTTTGTTTTAACTTAGTATATCACATTAATTTAACCGTTTCCTCCATGATCTTATAGTTTCAATTTTAACCATAATTTTTTTCATTCTGACAATTTAAATTTTTTGACCCTAACATTTTCAAAATCTACACATACCTCAGTTTAATTGTTAAATATTGATATAAAAATTTTATTATTATTAGTTAGTTTTTTTCCTTTATTTCTAGTGAGTCTAAAGAAACCCTGGAACTTGTGAAACCTTTGTTTATGTTCCTAATGATGAATCCAAATTTTGTAAGTGAGCATAACCTCCTGAGAAATGAGACAGTTAACCTGATGTTACAACAAAATATTAGCAGCCCTGAGGATGGAAGAAATCAATATCTTAGTTTTGTTTTGAGTTGCCTGCCTTGGATCCAGGTAAAAAAAACTCCCCAACAAATGTTTGTAATATTTTTATTTATTGGAAGTATGGTATATGACAGGAATGAAGGAATTCATGTGCTTTAATAAATTATTTCACAATTCTATCTTCTTGTAATTCTACAGAATTAATTTTTTTTTAGAAATAATTTTGTCTAAGAAACATATGAACTTATTTTGTGATAAAGAAATAATAATTTACAAGCAAGTTTGAAACATATCATACTATATTTTTATTTGAACTTCAAGTGCACCATCATTTTATCCACTTGTTCAAGTTATCCACTTGGCTTTTGCAAACAACAGAGGTCAGTTGAAAATATGGTAGGTTTACAATGAGGACATATGTGCACTTCTTTTCATACAAGCAGACCTTATTCTTGATGATTAACCTTTACATATGGGCTTGGTCAGTTGGACCAACCTTGTAACCACCTGTAACTGTGAAACTAAGCATACTATAACTAAGAATGTACCAAGTGTAGCTTTGCAAAATTTGGAAAGATTTTAGTAAACATTACAAGTCTTATAAAAAAAAAAAATGATTTTTTAAATAAAGTATTTCTACTAAAGATTTGTCTGTGAATTAACAAAGCCTTTACTGAGTAAGTCTGAGTTGAAGGTGCTTTTCATGTAATAAGTAAAAATGCTTATTTTAATCTTACTGTTTCATATTTTCTATACCCTTACACTAACTGTAGCCAAATTATCAATGTATGGTGAAGTTAAAAAATAAGAAATAAATGAATAATACCATTTTTAGTTTCTAGAATGGCCACAGATTGTAACAGAAAATTACAATTACTTATCCTAATAACCTCAGCTTCTAACCTTCTTACATCTGCTTTCTTTTAATTTTACTACATGTAAAAAATGATAAATCAGGGTGGGAGTCCATTGAGATGTTTCTGATAGAGCTGAGGGTAAATAAATGGCCAAGTTACAGTCTTTGGACCTATTTCAATCAAACTTAGTATGATGATACATTGGACCAATGGGGAAGTTATTACCTGGCTTCACCAACCTTGGCCAACACCCACAGCAAAAATATGTTAGTTTAACCAATGACTATAATCTTGGACCAATTTTTTTTCCTAAAAGTTTTTAGTTATTAGTTTTTTTTTAAGTTTGTTTTTGAATTTTTCTTATAAAATATAGAGTTTTTTTGTAAAATATCTCAAACATTCACATTTTTGCCAGGAAAAATGGCAACAAAAGCATATGGTCAGACTCTTAAAGTGGCAGGGGTGCATGAAAACCTCTTGCTTTTGACATGGTCAATTCTGTGTTAGGTGTTCATGAGTAGGATAACCAAGAAAACTCTTTATTTTGGCCCAGGAAGAACTTCTAATGTGGTCTATCAAGAAGCACTCATAGTATCAACAACACTGAGGCTGTAGAGAAGGATTAGTAAAAGTAATAGTAATGCCATTTCTGTAATAAAGTAGGTATGAAATGAAGTAGTGTGAAATAAGTTATGCATTTAAATACAAATTCTTGATTTAATTCATTAGTTAAAAGCCTTACCTTCAATCCTCATGGCCCCCGGACGTAAGATGGGTGTCTCAGCTTGTATATTTATATATAACTGTCTTGAAAGGCAGGTCAGATGGGAGAGGCTTCTCTATTGGGTTTCACAAATTTATTGATATCTCAGCAAAGAGAGAATGCAGAGGTTCAGTTTTTGTTTTCTTGCTTGTAATGGTGTATAATTTGTGTTTCTAATTGGTTGGACATACTGAAAGCCATATTATCGAAGATATAATCTAAAGGGGAAGAATTCTGAGAACAGATACATCACACAGAGGAGCTTTTATATATTTCAAAGTTAGCTAATATAAAAAATTGAACTGTAAACTATGTTTTGATGCCAAACTTATTGATATACTTTGATAATAAAGTTCCTCGATTACATTTTGAATGTAACTTTGCAAAAGGTCATAAAGTGGACTTTGACCCAGCCATATACATAGGGTTAATATACCAGAAAAGCTGATAATGCCATCTTTTGCATATATAAATTATCATCAAGACTAAGAGAAAATTTGAAAAATCTCTTCTTTGACCATGCTTAATGCAGAAAAGCTGTTGAAAACACACACACATATATATATAACACAAATGCATAGATACATATTACAGAATGTAGTCTTAAAGATAGCTAATAAATATTTTGAAAAATGTTAATTTCTTATATTTAACCATTGGTTTTATTAAACAAACTTTTTATGAATTTTACCATAAAGAAAGTTTGTTGTTGTATTCAATAAAGAATTGTCTTTTCTTTGTATGGTAGCGTCTGAATTCAAGTGCACATATAAAGCAATTATAGCTTTGTATAAGTATAAAGAGACTTGTTATAAGTAAATAGCCACCCTCTAAAATGCAAGATGGAAAGAGAAGCAGGTCATTAAAGCTCTCCCTTTGCATGGCCAATCACTGGACATGAATCTCATTGAGCATGTGTGGTCTATACTTGACCAATCTCAACATAAATGTCTCATTAAACCTACTCTCCTGGATTCTTGAATTCAGATTCTGTGCCAAGAATAGGCTATAATTCTACAGAGCAGGATGCCTGATTTCTTCCACATGACGCAGACTTGCACCAAAAGTATTAACCATACTCATATTTTGCCAGAATAAACGGGTATTCTTTCAAACTTGGGTGTTTTTCTTTGTACTTAGACAATAATGGCTAGAAATTTTAGTGTGAAGTTTTTTTGTATGCAGGTTTTCATTATCAGCGTAACCCATGTACCCCATTTTCAACTTGTAAAAAATATTTTGTAATTTCAGAAGCAAATTAATAAGATCATTTTTTGATTTTAAATTTCTTAATTGTTATAAAAGACAAAAACATCCCTGGCTTTCTACATGTTCCTTGTAGTGTTAAGAATCTTACAATGAATCATACACTGTGTAAGAAAATTGCTCGAATGCAAATCAAGTTGTTTAAGAAAGTTGTATAAAATCATGTTTTTTTTTTGTCAAATCATTATTTACAAACATACCTGTAGAAAAATCTTGTACAGTTTTAAACAATACAATTTAAATTTTAAGTGAATGAAATTGAAGCTTAGGAAATATGTAGTTTAACAGATGTTTGTGTTTAATACCGACATGTAGCTTAACAGATGTTTGTGTTTAATACCGACATGTAGTATAACAGATGTTTGTGTTTAATACCGACATGTAGTTTAACAGATGTTTGTGTTTAATACCGACATGTAGTTTAACAGATGTTTGTGTTTAATACCGACATGTAGTTTAACAGATGTTTGTGTTTAATACCGACATGTAGTTTAATAGATGTTTGTGTTTAATACCGACATGTAGTTTAATAGATGTTTGTGTTTAATACCGACATGTAGTTTAACAGATGTTTGTGTTTAATACCGACATGTAGTTTAACAGATGGTTGTGTTTAATACCGACATGTAGTTTAACAGATGTTTGTGTTTAATACCGACATGTAGTTTAACAGATGTTTGTGTTTAATACCTACATGTAGTTTAACAGATGTTTGTGTTTAATACCGACGTGTAGTTTAACAGATGTTTGTGTTTAATACCGACATGTTGTTTAACAGATGTTTGTGTTTAATACCGACATGTAGTTTAACAGATGTTTGTGTTTAATACCTACATGTAGTTTAACAGATGTTTGTGTTTAATACCCACGTATTCTGTTTTTAAATTCCCTTATCAATTGGATTTTTGGACAAGATGAATGATGATACTTTTAATCTATTTCCACTTGATTTAAAATTAATTCAGTAACTCCATTCATATTTATGCAGTATAGATTCAAGTACTTGATTTACATTTGGGTGTTTCCTGGTGGGTAAACAATAAATTTATAACTTACAAAACTAAAAGTTGGGGTTCGATCCTTTGTAGTGAACACAACAGGTAGCCCAATGTTGCTTTTCTCTACAACAAACAATACATTAGGGATAGAGAATATTAATCAGTTACTGTTTTCAAATATTTTAGTTACATGTCATCTTTATGGTAATTCTAAAACAGAAGTTTACAGAAAAACAAATAGTGTTTTCATATGTTATATCAGACCACTGGAAGTTTACAGAAAACAAATAGTGTTTTCATATGTTAAATCAGACCGCTGTAAGTTTACAGAAAAACAAATAGTGTTTTCATATGTTAAATCAGACCACTGGAAGTTTACAGAAAAGCAAAT